GACCAATACAATCAAGCAAGAGAAAGCTATCAAGGGTATTCAAAAGGGGACAATGGAGGTGAAAATTCCACTTTTTACTGATATGGTCATATACTTAGAAAACCCCAGGGACTCAACCACAAACTCCCAGAAGTGATCAAAAAATACAGTAAGGTTTCAGGATATAAAATCAATGTCCACAAATCAGTAACCTTCAAATACAACAGTCAGCCAAAAACCAAATCAAAGGCATAATACCTTTCTGAGTAGCTTCAAAGAAAATAATGTACTAAAGGAGAAGGATCTTTACAGAGAGAACTATGAAACTCTGAGAAAAGAAATGGCAGAAAACATTATCAAATGTAAGAATATATCATGTTCATGGCTGCAAAGAACCAGTATTATTACAATGCTCTATACTACCTAATGTGATCTACAGATTTAATACAGTTGCCAGTAAAACATCACCATCATACTTTGTAGAACTTGACAAAATAGTTCTTTGATGTGTATGGAACCCCCAAATAACCCTGAATAGCCAATGCAATCCTATGAAATAAAAACAAATCTGGTGGCATCGCATTACCAGACTTTAGGTTACACTATATCTCTGTAGTGATCAAAACAGCAGAGTCCCTACCAGGCTCTGATCACCCAGAGTGAAGGGTGTGTGCAGACTGGGGCATGGGAGCTGTGGGCACCTCAGGCTGCTCCTGGGATGACCATCTGAGCTTGGGGCTGTATCAGGGCTCCCAGCCTCACACTCTCACCCTGAGCTACTCCATGTGGACTCCATCCCTGATTTAGAACTCAGGTGAGAGAGGCCTTAAGTGTCACCTAACCTACTTGCCACCTAAATAGGGGCCTCTCTCCACAGTGAGTGAGTCACCCTCAGATGCTGGGTTTCTCTGCTCAAATCCTCTCTGGGTATGGGACACTGATTCTCTCCACTCTCTGGCTCAGGGCTTATTGTCCTGATTCCCTTGGAGGATTTCTCAGGAGTGAGGGTCCCCTACTGCTCTCTGGGTGGGGCTGTTTCTTCTCCCAGGCATGAGCTTTGACTCACATAGGTGGGTTTGAGGGTTCCTGTGACTTTCAGGAGGCTTTTGAGGACTGGAACTGGAAGGTGTAGGGGAGGAACTCAGTAGAGTCTGGCCCTCATCCCCCGTCCCATCTCAAGGCCCATAAGGTAAATCTTCCTGAGTGTGGCAGCCTGCAGCCCATCTATGGACGCTGTGTTAGAACATAATAACATTTTTGTTATGTTCAAGGAATTCACTTCTCAAGTAGGAAAGTAAGAATTTCCTGGACAGGACAGCGCCTGTGGCTCAAGAGTAGGGCGCCAGCTCCATATGCCAGAGGTGGCAGGTTCAAACCCAGGCCTGCAAAAAAAAAAAAAAAAAAAAAAAAAAAATTGCCTGGACAATTCCTGGGGTCAAAGGGCCATGGCTCCAGGGTGCTGAGGGCAGTTATACGGAGGCTGAAGTGTCCTTCACTGATGGGGAGTGAGGTCCAACTTTAGATGAAGGGAACCCTGCCAAGCCTTAGGCTTCTGTGGAACTGATGCAGGACAAGGTGGCACCATGACCTGCCACCTTAGCCCTGCACCTGTTGATGTTGCAGAGGATGGAGGAACCAGCTTGATATCCAGCTGGACACCTGTCGGGGAGACACTGGTGCCCTTCTGTCTCCTTCACCATGCACTCCTGACTGGTCAATTTCATGTCAGTTTCTAAGGCCTGAGAGCTCCTTAGACTGCTGGCTATAACTGACAAGGACCTACACCCTAAGAGTCAACATTGAGTTTGGCAAAACAACCCCCCTGCCACTATATAACCCCCTAGGCAGAGAGCCTGAAGACAGACCTCCAAGAGGGATTAGGAGAGCTTGTTCCTCTCCTGGGTTCTCTATGCCAGGAGGTTTCGTTTTTGCAGTTGTTGTAATTTTTGTTCCTTGAATGAATCCTGATTTACTACTGATCCTGTGGTCCGTGGATTCCTTCTTCAAATTGCTGAGACCAAGAACCTGAAATCTGGTATCAGATTCACCCCCAGAATACTGCCCTGGAGGCTCAAAATGAGGTGATGATGGAAGGCACCCTGGCTGTAAAATTGCAATCACCGGGCCAGTGTGGCCACTGGTTACATGCACTGTGGGCAGCTGTTCACCTACCATGCAGGGCATGCTTCTTACTGGTCAGCAACTGGGCCAGTGCTCAGAAGGCATATTTCTCACTGAGGAACATCAACAGGATGGCACTGATTTGGCTCATACCTTTATGTCCTGCAAGAGCCAAAGTCAGCTTTGGATGACCTCACCTGGAAGGGCTGATGTCACTTGGGAGAGCTGAGCTCACTTGAAAGGTCTGAGGTTACACAAAGGGCTGAAGTCACTTGGCCCTGGGGGATTTGGGGCACAACCTATGGGCACGAGACTATATAGGTTGGTGGGCATTTCTATTTACAAAGCTTTGAAGAGGCTCCTGCAGCATTCAAACTCATAAGCAGGAAAAGACAGTCAAGAATGAGTGTGGGTCCCCTCCCACATGCTGTGCCAGGCTCAAGGTAGCACCCCTGAGGGTCAACTGGGGAGCCTTGACCACTGTTACACAAAATCCTGTGACAGCCTACAGGTTGCTGGGTATGGGAGGATGGCTGGGTGGAGGCCCCACTGTAAGAGCCTGTGGAGTTGTCTCTGCTGCTGCTTTCCCTATAGGGAATGGTCTGGAACATGGAGGCAGAGAAGGGAACGGCCACCTTGGCAATCACCTCCCTGTCTGCTACACTTTTTAGGGGTTTGAATGAGTGGTAACTTTAATTCTTGCTAAATTTCTGATTAATAATTGGCATCCTGAGCAGTCAAACTCATTTTATAGCAAGAGCTTGTATAATATTTCTACTAAGACAAGCATCCTGCCAACACTGCCAAGTTCATGGGATTCTGGGGCAACCCTAGGAGGAAGGGTGTCAGAAAAATGGTGGTCAGATCCATGTGAGATCAGGAGCTTGGACACCTACCTCTTTCTGTCTCAGTTTTAGAGACCCTTTCCCCTTGTTTTGGACCTCTGTGACTACAGTGAGCATCAGTCCTGGTTGGTCATTAAACCTGAATTTTAAAGAAACTATAACACCTCAACGTTTTGGAATAGGTTCTGCAGTATAGGTACAAGCTCTTCCTTGAAAATTTGGTAGAATTCAGGAGTATAGAGTTTCTTGTAGCAGTCAGAGATAATCTCTTGTATCTGTGGTTATCTGTTATTTTTACTTTTTTGTTTCTGATTGAGGGTATTAGAGATTTTACTTTTCTGTTTCTAGTTAATCTAACCAATGGTTTATCAATTTTATTTAGCTTTTTGAAGAACTAATTTTTTATTTCATTAATTTTCTGAATGATTCTTTTTTCAATTTCATTTATTTTAGGGGTTTGGGATTGGAATGTTCTTCCTTTTTCATTTCCTTAAGATAATTCATTAGGGTGTTGATGTGCTCTCTTTGATTTTAGATGTAGGCATCTAATGTGATAAATTTCCCTCTTAGAACTACTTTTGCAGTATCCTATAGGTTTTGGTAGCTTGTGGTTTCATTGTTGTTATATTCAAGGACTTTAATAATTTCTCCCTTTATCTCCTCCTTAAACCAACTGTCATTCAGCATAAGGTTATTTAGTTTCCAGGCCTTTGTGTGGGGATGAAAATTTTTATTGGAGTTGAGTTCTACCTTTATCGCCTTGTGTTCTGAGAAGATACAAAGTATAATTTCAATTCTTTTAATTTTATTGAAGTTTGATTTGTGAACTAGGATATGATCTATTTTGGAGTATGTTCCATGAGCTGACCACTCAGGCTGTGAGTTTTAGAAGATTGTGCAAAACTGATGAAAACTAGAAGAGGAATGGACCCCCCCCCCCGACAGTTTTAAGAGCTAATAAACACCTTGGGGCAACAACTGCATCTAGTCTTGGATACACAGGATGTAGTTGTTAACAACTTTTTAACCTTATTTTCTATTTTTGAGAAATTCTTCCTTCTTATTTTGGAAGAATTTTCCACTGTGTGAATTTAGATTGGGGCACTGTCTCCTGAAGATGAAGGGGGCTCAGCGCCTGTGGCTAAGGTGCCAGCCACATACACCTGAGCTGAAGGGTTCAAATCCAGCCTGGCCTGCCAAACAACAATGATGGCTACAACCAAAAAATAGCGAGGCATTGTGGTGGGTTCCTGTAGTCCCAGCTACTTGGGAGGTGGAGGCAGGAGACTCGCTTGAGCCCAGGAGTTGGAGGTTGCTGTGAGCTGTGATGCCATAGCACTCTATCCAGGGGGACAGCTTGAG